GTTAAGTGTAATTTACCGAATATAAAAAGAAGCAGAAAATGCAAAGAGGAGAAAAGGGGATGACTGTGAAGTTCATTAAGTGAAAATAAGATAAAATATAGGCTGCAGTGCCAATCTTGTTACTTTTTATCAGGTGACCATTTTATTATTTTGCTGAAAAAATCAACGATAGTTTTGTAGGTTTACATTGAAAGTAGAACTCATATTATAATTGAAAAAAAAATAATTGAAAAAAATTTAATTGAAATAAAAGATTAATTGAAAAAAAAATTATTTGAAAAAAAATTATTTGAAAATATTGGTCTTAATTTCATATAGTTGATTATTATTTGCTATTATAAATTATTATATATATATATATATATTAATATTGGTCTTAATTTTATAAAATAAAATTTATATATATTAAAAATTATATTGGTTTGGTGTGTGTGATGAGTGTTTGTGTCAGAGAGAGAAGAGAAGAGAAGGGAAGAGTGAGTGCGTAGAGTGTATTGAAAGCATGATTCCAAATCACGTTTTCTCAAAAAAATTTATAAAGCGTGGTTTGGAACCACGTTTTATGAAAAAAAATTCTTTAAAAGCGTGGTTTGTAACCCACGTTTTCTTAATTAAAAACGTGGTTTGTAACCACGCTTTTACTATTTTACAAATTTCCTGCGAGAGTGTCCTAGGAAACAGTGAAACATGGTTTGTAATAGCGCTTTAGCCTAGTTTGGAAATTCCGTCCAAATTAGGCCTAGTTTGGGAATTAAGTTGCTAATTTGGCTTAATTTGGGAAAAGCCCCATGGTGCTGACTTCTTACCTGGTTTTACAAGGGGGTTTACCCCTACATTAATTTCTGTACGTGCTGCTAAAAAGAATGTATGTACGTGCTAGAAATCCTGTGCAATGCAGTGGGAGCAATTTCAATTGATTTTAAAAGATCAAAATTTATGGAAGTTAGAATTGGTGTGGTGGTTACTCTGAGGCTCCAAGCAACTTGAACTGGACAAGAAATGATGAGTCTTGGGTGGCATTTTTGCGATGCCGACGATCAAGTTAGGGAAGACAACTTGAAAAGCAAGAGAAAGTAATTGGGGTTTTGATTTTTTTTTTTTGTATTGGCTTACCTTAATGCTTGGATATGCCATCATTTTATATATTGGCCACCATGTGCCAAAGAGTGGTTCCTGGCAGTGCTAGACTCCTCCTACCTGTTGTGGGGTGCAAATTAATAAGTGCGTCGAACAATATAATTCAAAGATTTTCCTCACTGAAGCAAGTCTCAATTCAGGAATGGGGGCCTTGATATATTAGAGTGATCTAAGCATGACCTAAACCCATTTACCAAGTATGGGTACTACTTGTGACAAAAGGCCTAGGGAGTCTTTGTGTTGTTTGTGTTAGAGTCGTTGGACCTATTCAGTGTTTTAAAAACAGCATTTAGGCGTGCGCCTAGGCACAAGGCTCTCGAAGCAGGTCGAGGCGAGGCACAAAACAGAAGGCATACGAAAGGCGCTGAGGCGCAAGACGAGGGCCTTATGGGCTTTACGTAGCTTTTTACTCCACCACTTGGTTTAAGTGATTTCTTGTGTGCATACCCACAGGGCATTACAATCCTTCAATATAAAATGAACAAATATGTGAAAAGAGATCAAAAAAGTGATATATAAAAATAAAAACAAATAAAAAACTAGCGATTAATAAAAATGATCGATTGGCGTGGAAGAGAGAACAACATGGTCTTCTTCATCAACGATTGATGTCGTCTTCTTCAGGTCCTCTTCTCTTCTTCTTCTCTGTGATCTCTTTATCTCTCTTCTTCTTTTTCTTTGCTGGTTCTCTCGTCTCTTTTTTTCTTTCTCTTTTTGGTCCAACCATTGTTATTATTCTTCTTCTTATTTTTTTCTTCTCTACTCCAACCATTGTTCCCCCTTTGTGTCATTGGGTTCTCTCTATCAGCCACCGTGTTTTCATCTTCTTCATTAGGGGTGTTTGGGAAGAGGGTTGGGCTAAAATAGACTACTAAAAGACAATAGATTAAAATAGATAATAAGACAAAATGTCACATCTAATCCATAATCATTTCACTTTTTCTCTCACAACAATTAAATCAACTATAAAAAAAAATAAAAATAAAAAAAACCAATCAACTTCCCAAACACAACCTATTTTAGCCAAGCTAAAATAGCCAAAAAGTCAACTCAAATAGCCAATTTCCCAAACAAGGTTGTTATGTAGCCAACAACTGAATGTTTACTTTTTGGTTTTTCAAATGGTGAAACTTGCTTTATGACTTTTGGAATTCTATATATATTTGTTTATGTTGAAAACTTCGCCTATATTAAAGTTTTGTTTATCTTCTACAACTTGTGCCTTGCTTTGGTGAGGCGTGTGCCTTGCCTCGCGCTTAGGCTGTAGGAGACCTTATTGTCTCAGTGCGCTTAGAACTTTTTAAAACACTGGACTTGTTGGTAGGCCATGGTGCACTGACCCCAATTTGTGCCCAGTGACTATGCTGGTGGGCTTGGTGTTGCCTAGCAGTGACATTGTAGTGAGGTCAATGTTTACTAGACCTCGAGGTCAATGTTTACTAGACCTCGAGGTCAAGTCAGAGTTGGTCTAAGAAGAATGGCTACAAAAATGGACACAGGTACAAACACAAGTCAAAATGATTTAAAAAAATAAAAATAAAATGTAATCAGACATGTTAGGAATACGAGAAAAAGTATGTATGTATATTTGCTATGTATATGAACACAAATTTAGGGCATGGTGATATAAGAGGTAACAAGGTATAAGTCGGTATATATATATTCACTTTCCTCTGTCTTTGCTTTTGTATTTTTTATTTTGCCCCCAAATCATCTTTCTATAATTATAAAAATGAAACTGACAAAGGTGTCTTGAAGTGTCTCCAAACACAGGACATGTGTGTACATGAAATGTCCCCAAAGTGTCCTACAAATAATAATAATTAAAAAAATGACCTGCTACATGGCCTGTGTTCATGGGTGCACGTGTCCCCATGGTGTCGGTGTCCCATACTTGTTTGACACAGACACGACATACATTTTGAAGTGTCAGTTCTTCAGAGGAGTTGGTGATAGATTCATTGTACCACGTGGGGTGTCCTTACGGTACTTATAAGTTATAACTGACATGATTAACACAGACAAGCACAATAGGCAATAGGAATTTGGGACCACTAGTAGGGACCACTCTCCAGCGGATGTAGGCCAAGCTATATAACAATGGCATATCCAACTCTTAAGGTAAGCTAATACAAAATACCCAAAAGCACTAATTCTTTATCTTGCCCTCCAAGTTGGTTTCTTTAACTTGATCATCAAAAAAGGTCTTTTGACGGCATGACACGGTGCTGGACTCACCATTTCTTGTCCATTTCATGTCGCTTGGAGCCTTACACCCTATGAAGCACAGATACGCGGACACGCAAATTTTCAAAAAACGGGGGATATGACACGCTGGGGACACACTCAATATATATAATTTATTTGATTTATTATATGTAAAATTTAAAAAATATATTATTTTTATTTATTTATTTAATTTAATTTAATATCAAACATCATTCATAAATTAATTTTTTTTTCTACAAATAAAAATAATTTCTTCTATGTATGTTAATGTTTAACAAACAAGAATATTCAAAAAAAATAGAAAAAAGAAAAAGAGAAAACAAGAATATTCAAAAAAAATAGAAAAAAGAAAAAGAGAGAGAGGAAGAATAGGTTTTTGTTTAAAAAAAAAAAAAAAACTAATAAAAGGTAGAAAGCGAGAGAAGGAGAGTTCAACACAGCGAGAGAGAGACGAACAGAGAGAGAGAGAGAGAGATGAACAAATTCGAAGAAGATGAATAGAGAGACCAACAGATTTGAAGAAGATGAACAGAGAGACGAACATACCTCGATCTAGGGCTTTGATAGGTTCTTCACCCTCTCTCTCTCTCTCTCTCTCTCTCTCTTCGATGGGTTAGGGTTTCTCTCTCTCCAACGTGTCCATAATTGTCCAAAAGTGTCCCAAGCGTGTCCGGCTGCAAAAATTCAAAAAAAAAAAGCGGACACGTTAGGTAGAGTGTCCGACATGTGTCCACTGTGTGTCCGACGCGTGTTTGTGTCCATGTCCGACACGTGTCGGACACCCATACGCTGCATCTGGTGAGGTGTCCGTGCTTTATAGCTCATACCCTTACCATAGCAATTCTAACTTTTATCAAAAGCTATGTTATAAAATGCCCTTTCTTAGTGGATCAAGCAACCATGCATCGTATTGATTTGATGAGTATTTCAATTTGCTATCAATTAGTTTTTATAACATTTTGAAATCTCTTCGAAATTTTTTGATACCAAGTCGAGTTTATTTAATTTTGTTATCAACCATGCATCGTATTGATTTGATGAGTATTTCAATTTGCTATCAATTAGTTTTTATAACATTTTGAAATCTCTTCGAAATTTTTTGATACCAAGTCGAGTTTATTTAATTTTGTTATCAATGCAGTCCATGACTAACGTAACCTTTAACTACATGTAACTTGTAGATATCCTAGTAATATTATGCTAGCTAGGATGTGTTAAGAAGTAGCTTTACAGCTGCTTGTTGGAAGTGAATTGTCAAATATCACTGGTTGGGACTTAATTTGCAAAGAAAGTACACGTGCTAACCTCGATGTATAGGAAAGTACAAAAAAAAAATTTAGTGGAAAAGTGAAGCACTGTCCAATTCTTTTAGTCACTTTATCGTGTGCCTTATGCTTTCAAATTCAAGTGCAAGGATTTATATTGTGACAACATTAAATTCAACCAACTACATGAAAATATATGTATGTGTATATATATGTATGTATTTGGGTAGTTAAGAAGAATCTTTATTTCCCAAGATAGATAGCTGTGGTTTACAATGGAGCTTAACACACCACCCTAAGACACATAAACACAATCTCTCAGAGAATGAGAGCGAACACAAAGACCTAGCTCAATAAAATCATAGTTACACAACTTTAAAGCATAGGTGTTGAAAGGACACCAGAAGTATATGGAATAAACAAATTGACTTCAATATTCGCTAAGTTAAAAATTCTTCTATAACTATATTTTGACACTATTTATATTTTAAACCTTTTCAACTTAGTGAATATTGAAGCCCAAGATGAGTGGATATTGCTTATGAAATAAGCTACTTTTGGCCTTGCCCTTGGCCAAACTCACTATGCTTAGAAGGATAACAAAATGATGCATAGAGAAGTGGGAAAGTTGAAATAGAGTAACAACATAATAGCTTGAACAAAAAGAAGACAAAGTAAAAGGTTTATTTCTCCGCTCAAGTTTTCTTAAAATTGAATATCATGATGTTTCATATTAGAATTCTAACATAAGGAGAAAAAAAGCCCCTTTGGCTAGAGCTATTTGCTTATGTTCTATATCTTGCCAATGCAAAAGTGGAGGTGTACTGTTCAATTTTAGTTCGGACATGGGTTTGCATTTTTCCTATTAAAAAAATGAAAAGAAGTAGGGTAAATTACACCAGTAGTCCCTACATTTTACCTCTTGTGTCATTTTGGTCCCTACATTTTCAATTGATTCAATTTTGACCCTTAATTTTAGATTTTGTATCAATTTGGTCCAATTGATAATGTCATTAGTGTTTTTGGCTAAAAATGATCACTGAATTGGTTAAGGTTAACTCACTAAGTTGAACAAGTTTAAAATTTTGCCTCTAAAAGCATGACATATGCCATTTTTATGCATATTTTTTGTTAAAAAAATGCTAATAATTGTAAGAAATTGGACTTAATTGAGACAACTATAATTCAGGGTCAAAATCAAACCAATTGAGATTACAGAGACCACAATGACACAAAGACCAAAATATAGGGACTATCAGTATAATTTACCCAAAGAAGTAAGAAGCAAAAAACCCTGTTTGGTGTAGCTTGTTGCTTATGACACCTATTATTTTTGAAATTTGTGCCAGTGTTAGGGGAGAAATGCTTTTAGCTTATGTTTTTTATTATGTGTAAATTACAGATACACCCCCCTTGAGGTTTATTTAGGTTTATTTAAAATACTAAGGGCTTGTTTGGTTTGTTTTTGGGAAAAAATTCTCTACAAACAAATTTTCAAGAGTAATCAAACTTAACAAATTTTTTCAAAAAAAATCTCAAAATTTTGTTTGGTTTGCTTCTTTTCAAAATCACTCTCTCTCTCTCTCATACACATCAAATCAATCACTTTTTTTAAAACTCTCTCCCCAAAACAATTTCCCAAAACCATTTCTGAAAAAAGGCAAACCAAACAAGTTTTCGTACTTTTTATCTCAAAAATTACTCTACAAACACAAACCAAAAAAGCCCTAATTGTCCCCAGTGGTTCTCACCCCTTAACCCTTTCATTACTCAACCATTAAGCCAATTAACAGTTTTTAATGATGTCAACAATAGATTTCAATTAATACTTTTGGTAATTTCATTGTTGTATTGGAGAATAGTTAAAAATTTCATTTATTTTGTCAATTCTGTTGAATGACAAATTCTGATTAGGGTGTATTTGCAATTTTCAGAACCACAAGAAGCAATCTATATTTGAAGCAAATCTGAAGGGTGTTTTTGTAATTTATCCTTTTATTATCAACTTCTAGCATTCGGAAAAGTTGCACCAAACACGACTAAAGAAAAAGAAGAAATTTTCAAAAGATATTTGGAAATTGTGAAATGTCTTCTACTTAGTTGTATATTCTTTGAATCCAAGGTCAATAGTTGGAAATTTGTGAACTTCGTCGACTTAGATGTATATTGTTAAGGTCCTTTTCAGACAAGTTTACCAATAGATTTTTTTTATATATATATATATTTTATTTTTATTTGGTCAAAAAAGTGCATTGGTTTTGTATACTCCTTGAAGAATGAAATGAATGAGGCCCAAGAGAACATAATCTCTGCGGACCGAAGTATACAGAACCTGTTGTGAAATGAAAAAAATGAACTGCAACTGACATGGGCTCGTATGATTTTTAGTTTCATTTTGAAATTGAGCCACTGCAAGATAGATGGGAAGTCCTTTCTTGTCTGAATGAAACATAATGTGATCAAATGGTTTTGTGTACTCCTTGAAGAATGAAATGAATGAGGACCAAGAGAACATAATCTCTGCGGACCAAAGTATACAGAACCTGTTGTGAAATGAAAAAAATGAACTGCAACTGACATGGGCTCGTATGATTTTTAGTTTCATTTTGAAATTGAGCCAGAAAAAAATGAACTGCAACTGACATGGGCTCGTATGATTTTTAGTTTCATTTTGAAATTGAGCCACTGCAAGATAGATGGGAAGTCCTTTCTTGTCTGAATGAAACATAATGTGATCAAATTTTAAGGTCCTATTCAGATGAGTTTCCCAAAAGATTAGGTTTTGTGTATTCTTTGAAGAATGAAATGAATGACCCAAGAACATAATCTCCAAGGGCCAGAGCATATGGATAACCTGTTGTGAAATGAAAACATGAACTGCAACTGACATGGGCTCATATGAACTTTTAGTTTCATTTTGAAATTGAAATTGAAATTGGGCCACTGCAAGATGGATGGGAAGTCCTTTTTTGTCTGAATTTATTGGTGGAATCACTGTGAAACATAATGCAATCAAATTTTATTTTATTTTTGTGTGGGCTTGTTATATTGAACTAGGGGAAGAACAATGTAAGATTTTTCACTTGTCCGTGTGTGTGTACACACATTTCTTACTGATGATGGGCTAATGGCTTGCTACTTTTTGTGTTTTCCAGTGAAACATACCGCTATTTTGATCTCCCTTTCTGTATGCCAGGTTCGAATTTGGTCATCCTTCTCTGAGTTTATTTTTTGGTTCATGATAATTTACATCATTAGTGTGATTTTGTGCCAGATGATATCAAAGAAAAAAGAGAAGCTCTTGGTGAAGTATTGAATGGAGACCGTTTAGTTAGTGCCCCCTATAAACTTGATTTTTTAGTTGACAAAGACTCTGAAATTGTTTGCAAAAAGCACCTGTCGAAGGAAGAAGTTGCTCAGTTCCGAAATGCTGTCTCAAAGGACTACTACTTTGAAATGTACTATGATGATTTGCCCTTCTGGGGTTTCTTAGGGAAGGTTGACAAGGACGACAAAGCTGATGCCAGCGAGTACAAATATTACCTATTTAAGCATCTTCACTTTGAGATCCTTTACAATAAGGACCGTGTTATTGAAATTAATGCGAAGACTGATCCTAATGCCCTTGTTGACCTCACTGAGGATAAGGAAGTTGAAGTCAATTCCGTGTACAGTGTCAGGTGGAAACACACTAACACTCCTTTTGAGAAGCGGATGGAGAAGTACTCACAATCTTCTTCACTACCACATCACTTAGAAATCCATTGGTTTTCAATAATCAATTCCTGTGTGACAGTTCTCCTCTTGACTGGTTTTCTTGCCACGATTCTCATGCGAGTCCTGAAGAATGATTTTATTAAGTAAGGAACATTTCTCATTCATTATTGTCATCTTCTATATGCTCTAAACGTTTTTTGTTGTTGTTGTTGTGTTTGTATTTGTCTTTATGCATATGTTTTTATGTGTAAAAGGTATGCCCATGATGAGGAGGCAGCCGATGACCAAGAAGAAACTGGCTGGAAATACATCCATGGTGACGTTTTTAGGTTCCCGAAGTACAAGTCATTGTTTGCTGCAGCTCTTGGTTCTGGAACCCAGCTATTTACCCTGTAAATATGTTTTTAAAGCTGTTTTGTTCAATTAGGTTCAGCTTGATTGAGCAAGTTCCTTTCACCAATTATTGATTTTAACATGTGTGCATTTTTCTGTCAGTGCAATTTTTATCTTTCTACTTGCACTGGTTGGTGTATTCTATCCATACAACAGGGGAGCTCTGTTCACTGCACTGGTTGTCATATATGCGCTTACATCTGGGATTGCAGGCTATACAGCAGCCTCTTTCTATTACCAGCTGGAAGGATCAAATTGGGTATATGGCCTTGGATTTTGTTTTTCCTTTGTGTAGATTTATTTTCTAGAGTTCTTGTTTCCAACTTTTCGAGAATGGAAAAAAAAGATAGGATAAATAGTTAAGGAGTCAAATGGGCTTTTGGGGATAGAGGGAAAGGCTCATCAAGAATTTACGCCATCCGCTCACCCTCGGAAATCTCAGAAGATTGTTACACTAAGGGGTTGTTTGAGATAAACTAAATTAGTGCACTTTTTGACTTTTTATAAAATATGGGTTGGGTATGGGTTGGGTTTGAAGTGATGTGGTAGAGAGATGATGTGACTTAAATAAGATGATGTGACTTAAACAAAATAGTGATTTTTTGACTTTTTTTTATTATGCCAAACCAAGCCTTAATGACTTTCCCTTTGAGTCTAATGCTTCTTGTTTTCCCAATCGATATTCATTGGTTGCTATATCTACACCAGCCCCTAACGTACTACTGGAAATGTACCTACTAAAGTTCCTGCACTAGGGTGTTTACCCTTGGCCAGTTCTTCCGGGTGGGGCCACAAGCTGGTTTGGGGAATCACGAGGCCTTATTCAGAAGGATGCTTGATTTTGAATTGGAATGATTACTTAGAAAATATGAGGAAGAAGAACTCCGAAAAATATGAGGAAGAAGGAATATATTTCTGTTATATTCAAAACTTCTTATCTTACAAGACCAAATGACACTCCTTATATAGGAGATATTACAAACATCATCATAACCCATTATATGCCACTTACATATTATATATTACCACAATCTACCACTATCATATTATATACATGCCACCAACACCACTATCATATTATATCATATTATATTTGGGATGTGTAATTTTTCTTTTTGCACTTGTTCTTTTCGTCCTAGCAAATGCTGCCTAACTGAAGTGGAAAAATGCCTTTCTAATATTCTATCCCTGACTTTGCAGGTGAGAAATTTGTTATTGACCGGAAGTCTGTTTTGTGGACCTCTGTTTCTCACGTTCTGCTTCCTCAACACTGTTGCAATTTTTTACAGTGCCACAGCTGCATTGCCATTTGGTACCATTGTGGTGATAGTTCTCATATGGACTCTTGTCACATCACCTTTGCTAGTATTGGGTGGTATTGCGGGGAAAAATAGCAAGGCTGAGTTTCAGGCTCCTGTACGCACAACAAAATATCCTAGAGAGATCCCGCCATCGCCTTGGTATCGTGGAACTCTTCCTCAGATGGCAATGGCTGGGTTCCTGCCTTTTAGTGCAATCTATATTGAACTCTACTACATATTCGCTAGTGTTTGGGGTCACAGGATTTACACTATATACAGCATCTTATTTATAGTCTTCATCATTCTCGTAATTGTTACGGCTTTTATTACTGTGGCTTTGATATATTTTCAACTTGCTGCTGAAGATCATGAGTGGTGGTGGAGGTATGTGTGCAGTTCACTGCGTTCTATTATTTCTTCATCCTGCTCAGTGAAGTACTTCTTATGCTTTAGTAGATGCTATTAACTGGTTATTACAATTTTCTTATTCTGATGACTCTTTTTCTCATGTGATTATCTGGTAGCGATGATCTTTTTTATTACACGTCTCCATAATGTGATTATCATTTGGTAGTTATTTTGTGTTGCAACATGTTTATAAACTTTAACCACTGGCTTTGCAATTGCTTATTTATTTAATCCCCCTTAATGTCAAGTGAATTTCTTTTTTTGATTTGATCATGCTATATGTATTTCAGTATTTAGCAGCTTTCTTGTCTGAACTCCTTTTGTGAGTTGGTTTTGGTAGTTTATTTGTTTCTAGAAACTCAAAAACAACATGCATGGCATTTCATGTGGAGGTAGCTAAAACAAAGTATCTGTAAGAATTGTGATGTATGTGGGTTTTTCACACTGAAGATGGTTATTTTGCATTTAGTATTAAATTTGAGTCAACAAATAAAGAAAAGAGACTTGCTACAGCATAATAGACTGAAATATTAGTGCACTGGTAAGTTTTCACTGCCATAGGTTGTTAAGGGAATTGTGGTTCTTTTGACATATGTCCAGTTGTTTAATTTCCATTTGTTATGAAATAGTTAATTGAACCAACTGATGGAGATATTTCTAGAACTTCTTTGGTTAATTGTAATGTTGGTGTATTACCATGACCTAAGCTGCATGTAAATAAATCTCCTATATGTAATCAAACCAAGTGTGTCCCAATTAATTGGAGTCGGCTACACAAATTCTTTTACTTCATTCTGCTCTATCAAGGATCATATGTTCAATTAAATTAAGTAAATTCTTATCCTTCTTTACTATAGTATCCCTCGTCAATCTTAGTCTTATCCTTCCTCTAGCATTTCCATTAGGGGTGGCCATGGGCTCAATGGCCCACCAAACCCAACCTAGCCCAATATGATATTTTTAAGGCTTGGCAAGTTGGCATAAATGTTTAGCCCATAGGGCCAGGTTGGATTGAGATTTTGAGCTTGTTTAATTTTCGGGTTGGGCTTGGGATGAAGAATTTTATATATTTATTATATCATATAGAAGGATAATTAATTGTTAAATGTCATATATATGGATATCTAAATCAAAGATAATTATTTTTAAAGTCCATTTGGATGGGATGATTTGATGAGAAATGATAAGAAATGATGGGAAAGAGAACTCTTCTCTTATGTTTGGTTTATCAGTTGAGTTTAAAATACAAAGGAACAAAAAAGAAATCTCCCTTGTATCCCTCTTTCACATGCTTTGTTTTCTAACTCATATAAACATGATAGGGAGAAAACATAATCATTTCTTTTCTTTTGTCACCCTATGATCCAAACGGAGTATAAATGAGAAGAACATATATAAATTCACATTATTTTTGTTATCATTGGATTCCAAGTTATTTAATTCAAACTTATAATGTGTTCCATGTGTGTGTAAGTGTTTGGTGGTATCTGAAGTGTGTTGTGTCGGTTCTTAACACGATGTAGGACACGACATGTTGCCTTCTTAGAAGTGTCTGTGCGTCTTAGAAATAACCCATATATATTGGGTTAAGTGGGACAGCTTGATTTAGAAATTTGTTTAGAGTTGGATTTAGGATGGCAAAATTAAGCTCAATGTCAGGCCGGGTCGAATTTGAGATGACACGTACACTTTTACTAGTAGTGCAAGCCTGGCCCACTATGTCCACCCCTAGTTTCCATTATCCGTGATCATATCACAATTCCTCACTGTTGTCTCTACTGGTCTTTGTTGTACAGGACCAACCCATATTATCCTTTTAACTTATTGAAATTAATCTTGAGTTGGCAAGACTCCTACCATTTCAACAATGGTTTAGCCATACATCCACCTCAACATTCTCATCTCAGCTACACTTATTTTACTTGTGTTTTTTCTTAGTTATCCAACATTCTCTGTCCCGTAAAGCATTGTTGGCCTTATAATTATTCTATAGAATTTCCTTAAGATTTTGTTGGTATACATTGATCACATAATATGCAAGAACCACTTCTCCACTTTAACCTACTTTAATTTTATGAATCACATCTGCTCCAACCTCTCCATCCTCGCTAATAGTCAAGCCTAGATAATAGAATTGTTCACTCTTAGTTATCTCTTGATTTTCGATCTTCACTTCTCCACTATTTTTACTTGTGTTGTTAGCGAAGTTACATTTCAAATATTCAGTTTAAGTCATTATTTAAAACACTCAGACCCATATGCTTTTGTCCACATTTTTAATTTAGTGTTAAATCCTCTTTTAGTTTCATCCACCAAAACATCATATGTGAATAACATATACCACAGTACACAATCTTGAATGTGTCGAATTAATTTATTTATAACTACGGCAAATAGGTAAGGACTCAAGACTGACCTTGGTGTAATCCTATAGTAATTGAAAATTCACTTGTGTTCACTTGTACACACACCTGCATCTGATTCTCATATTTGAGTCCATGTAACATAGCATTGCACATAGAAAGGGTGTTTAGCCTTTGTTGTGTCACTTCGATGCATATGTGAGCATTCCCATCCATGTTTCTCTCTTCAGGTTACTGCCAACCAAAATATTCTCTGTTTTGGTCTTTCAAAAGACAAAAGTGGTTATGTACTAAGTTCTCAATAAACTGATTACATCTTTTTGTGCGACATTCAACCACATTCTAGGATAAATGTTTCCATTAAGCATAGGTCCTTAGAGAAGATCAATTGTTTTAGAATATACATCCTTTCAGATTATTATTTGCCTGTGGGTGCTTAGGATTTGTCAGAATATATATCTAGGATTTCGTGTTTTGTTGTTGCTATTTTGATGTTATTGCTTTCTGGTGGTGCCAAGGCATTGTATGATAATTTCGTTGCATAAAAGTTTATTTAATTTTTAGGGGTTTTTTTTGGCTGTGGTTGTTGGAGCACTGACGGGTATGTATGGCTTTGGGTTGTTCCTATCAGGTCTTTCCTTTGTGGTGGATCAACTGGTTTATTCATCTATGCCTACTGCTTATACTACTACTATGCACGATCAGATATGTCTGGTTTCATGCAAACCTCATTTTTCTTTGGGTACATGGCTTGCATATGCTATGGTTTCTTTCTCATGCTTGGGAGCATAGGTTTCCGTGCAGCACTACTCTTTGTCCGTCACATATACCGCTCAATCAAGTGTGAGTAGTGTGTCAGTTGATTAGTATTCTATTTCCAACTGTTATGTCTTACAAATATGGGATGGAATCATCCCTGATCAAAGAGGAACATTAGGACTTGTAAGGAGGAAGCTTGTACTAAATACATCCGACGTTTTGAGAAACAATTCTTCTTCTTTTCACCTCTACACGTTGACAATTTATTTACCATGATATGTTTTAGTTTAGTTTCTTTTTCCTCTTTCTTTTTTTTTTTTTTGTATTAATTTGTTACTTAGATGTAGGGAAGCAAATGTCACACTGATCCCCCTTTGGCATCGTCTTTGTTATAATGTTATTATTATTTTTTCTTTTGTTTCATTTATATTGGCATATCTGGCCAATTTAAAGAGGTCCTTAAGATGATTTGTTATCATGTGTTTTTTGGGTTTTACCAAGCAATCTCCATAACAAGGTGAACTGAACTTAAATGGAAGCTGGTTAATTATTCCCAAATCCCCCTCGTTTATTTTGCTTTCGTTTATTTTGCTTTTGTTGTTGTTGTTTGTGTGTGTGTGTGTTGTGGGTACAAATGAATGGTGGTCCATTGCAAGAGACATTAAAGTAAGGTGATTTTGTGTCACAACCAAGGGTATTGGGGACTTTGCTCCAACTAGTGTCAAGAATATGCAATCTCCCAAAGTAGGGTGGGTGATGTGCTTGAGGCCTTGGGAAAGGGCTGCCTAGCCGCTGTTTCTGCAGCTTGTGTGGGGCTTCACCCACTCTAATTGATCAGAAGATTAACTCCGAATGCGAGTGTGTGCGTATGTATCGAAAGCAGTGAGAATTTTTCAAAGTTGTAAAATTTGATTATTCGAAAATCAGAGAAATTTCTCTGTTTCATAACAGTGAAATTTTCAAATTTTGTCATTTTGGAATACCTGAACTTGAGATTTTAGCTCTAAATTCAAAATGAAGTAACCAATTTTTTAAGTTCACTATCAATTTTGTAATTTTCTCTCAATTTGATTTTTTTTTTTTTTTTAAATAGTCAAATTTCGTTGGCCTTAATTTTACAATAGTTAGTTTTTAATTGAAAATTTATCTATTTCAAAAATAATGAAATTTCATTGACTTTAGAATGGAGAAAGTGCAAAATTTATAATTTTAAAGCCCTCAACTTGACGTTTTTATGCCTAAATTAATATATAAGTTCTTAATTTTTGCAATTGGCTTTCACTTTTACAATTTTTACTATTTTTGGTTCTCAATTGAAAATCTTACTCTCTTGAACACGGTTAAATTTTCCTATTTTACAAATTAATACTTTTTTTATTTTTTTTTATTTTTATGTTTTGAAACAGTTTTTTAAATGACAAGAAGCTCTGGATTTATTGAGCTGTGGTTAAGGAGATTTTTATGGGATATTACAAGAGAAATTTACCAATAAATCCTATTTCATAAACTCTTAAACCAATTAGTCCCAACTTTATTCTTTTGTTCGGATAAGTCCTATCAGTGGGGAAGTTTGTTACTTGTTGATCCTATTTTCCATATTTGGTCCTATTTTCCAATTGAGAGAGAGAGAGAGATCGCATGGCAGTGTGGCCGTATCTCGACAACCTCCCTCCATTCCATCACACGAGCACCGTTGCAGTCCAACGACCTACCTCCCTCTTCTCTTCTTTGTTCTGTGTGTGTGTGTGTGTGTGTGTGTGTGTGTGTTTCGCAGCCGGTCTCGAAACCTTCACCCTAGATCTAGGGTTTTCAGAGAGCGGTTTGCGATCTGGCAGCGATGGTGGGAGATAATGGCAGCAGCGGTGGGTTGCGATGAGGAGAAGAATAAGAATAAGAAGAGAAGAAGAAGAAGAAGAGGGAGCGGTGGTGGGTCTAAATCGAGGTTGGGGGAGTGCTGCGTTGAGAAGGTAAGGAGGAGAGGGGTAGTGGCGACCGCCGCCAACGGTGGCCACAGACAGGTTAGGGTTAGTTTAGGTTTGGGATTCAGAGTTAAAAGAAGATAAGGGTGATTTAGAATTTTTTTTAAAATTGATGTTGTAAAATGAGAAGAAATTAAGGAATTGAAAATATGTGTGGTGGGTACTGAAAAATTAGTGTGGATTGAAAGTTCAGTGTTACCCATCAAGATGCTTTCTCTTCCACCAAAACCTTACCCAAAATGGTGTCCAAATTATTTGATTTACGGTGGCTGTGTGACGGACTGTGTGTATCTGTGTGTGTATCTGTGTGTGTGTGTCTGTCTGTATGTATCTGTGTGTGTGTGTCTGTCTGGGTGTGTGTATATGTCTGTGTGTGTGTATCTGTGTGTGTGTGTCTGTCTGGGTGTGTGTATATGTCTGTGTGTGTGTATCTGTGTGTGTGTGTGTCTGTCTGGGTGTGTGTATATGTGTGTGTGTGTGTGTATCTGTGTGTGAGTGTCTGTCTGCCCCTCACAATGTATGTGTGTATCTGTGTGTGATAGGAGAAAGATGGGACTAAACGGTTTAATAGAATAAAAATGGGACTAATTGGTTCATAAGTTTAAATTTTGGGATTTATTGGTAAATCTCCCATATTACAAACAGGTAGAAGGGGGGGGGGGAAAACCAACAAATGAAGTTTAAATGTGTTTGTGATGGAGTGCAAATGAAAGGTGGTGGGGGTGCAAATGTCAATTGCACTCCTCATGTGTTGGTTATTTTTTTTCCCCTTCTACCACCTGTATGTAATTCCCCCTAATTTTATCTAAATTTGACATCCAAATTTTTAGTGTAAAACTATTATTTATTTATTTATATTTTTTTTTAACTCTGTTCGTAAACTAGTATAATCTTATAATGGAGCTAGTAATCATATGACTAGCAGAAAGAGCTTATTCACTAAGCTTGATGAGAAAGTTCACGGAGAAATCTCATTTGGCGACCTCTCCAAAGTCCTAGTTCGAGGAAGAGGTGATATTGTGATCAAGAGGAAGAATGGAGATCATGATTTCATTTCCAATGTCTGTTACTCCCTCCGTCCCAAAATAATGGTCCCTTTTGGAGAATCCAACTTTTTTTGATAGTACAATTATTGTACTTTTAAAAAGTTGGTTTTCCAAAATTACCCTTTGATAGTACACTTTTTTGAAAATATCAATGTCATAATTGTACTTTTTATATTATTTATGAATTTAAAAGAAGGGCAAAATGGGAAATTTATATTATTTTTGTACTTGATTTTTGAAGAGGGACTAATATTTTGGGACAATGAAAAATGGAATAAGGGACTAATATTATGGGACGGAGGGAGTATGTTCCAAACATGAAAACTAACATATTGAGTCTTAGACAACTCCTTGAAAGAGGCTATCAAATTAGCTTGAAAGATATGCTACTCACAATTTTAGACACTCGAGGGAAGCTGATTACTCGAGTAAAGATAGCGACGAATAAAATGTTTCCTTTCACCATTCACCATAACACACCAAAGTGTCTGAAGTGCGATAATACATGACAAAGACTGGATATGACATCTCAGATTCGAACATCTTAACTTTGAAAGCTTGAAGTAATTGGGAACCAAGAACATGGTGAAAGGTATGCCCAACATTCACATCCAACTGAGATGTGTGAAACTTGTATTATTAGCAAGCAATACAGGAACAACTTCGGAAAGGAAGCAAATTGGAGAGCAACCAAGCCGCTCCAACTAGTTCACACAGATGTGTGTGGTCCGTTGAAACCAATATCAAACAGACATAACAGATACTTCCTCACTTTCAATGATGATTACATCAGGAACACTTGGGTGTATTTCCTCAAAAGGAAGTCAAAAGTGTTTGAAAAGTTCGAAGAGTTCAAAACTCTTGTGGAGAAACAAAGCGGTTGTTACATCCAGACATTATGATCAGATCAAGGTGGAGAATACGAGACTAATGAGTTTGAAGAATTCTTTATGCAGCAAGGAATCAAGCGACAATTTACACCAACTTATACCCCCAATTGAATGGAGTAGCTAAACGAAACAATCTCATTATCCTGAACATAGTTAGTAGCATGTTACGAGACAAGAATATGCCCAAGAGTTTTTGGGCTAAAGTAGTTTCGTGTGTAGTCTATTTGTTGAATAGATGTCCCATAAAATCCTTGATAATGAAGACACCGCATAAAGCATGGAACACTCACAAGCCGAGTGCGAGTCATGTCAGAATCTTTGGCAACCTTGCCTACGTCAAGATCCCAAAAGCATGAAGAACAAAGCTTAAAGATAAAGGAGAAAAGTGTATCCTTATTGGATATAGTGACAGTTCAATAGGGTACATAGTATTCAACCGCATCATAAAGAAAATGTTTTTTAGCCGAGATGTCAACTTTGAAGAAAATGAGTCTTGGAAATGGGACAAGTCTGAATCCTCTACAAATGTGGAGCTAACAATTGTAGATGAAGAATCAGATCAGCCAAGAGAAATGGTTAGAGAGCCACCATCACCTAGAGAACAAGAGATATCTCTTCATGTTTTCCCTTCATCATAGAGGAATGAAATTCAATCACTAATAGAACGAGAAATTTTAGATATGAGGCCTAGAAGGATTCGCAATCTACAAGATCTATATGAAAATACAGAAATAATGGATGAAAATACCAATCTATTTTGTCTACTGATGAGTAGTGATCCAATTAACATTGAGGAGGCTAACAATGAAGATAAATGGAAGATTGCGATGGATGAAGAAATAAAATCCATTGAGAAGAACAAGACTTAGGAGTTAACTACTCTCCCAAAGGGCCGCAAAAGTAGTGGAGTGAAATGGGTCTATAAGACTAAAATAAATGTTGAAGGAGAAGTTTAACAATACAAGGCAAGACTTGTTGCAAAAGGCTACAGGCAAAAAGAAAGAATTGATTATGGAGGAGTCTTTGCCCCTGTTGCCAAATTAGAGTCTATCAGATTACTAATATCATTAGCAGCACAAAAGAGTTGGAAAATTTACCAACTAGATGTCAAGTTAGCATTTCCAAATGGATTTCTTGAAGAAGAAATCTATGTGGATCAGCCACCTGGATATGTGAATAATGACCAGAAAAACAAGGTACACAGGCTTAAGAAGGCCTTATATGGATTAAAGCAAGTTTCTCGTGTGTCGAACATGAGGATTGATGATTATTTCCAAGAGAATGGATTCGAGAAGTCCCTACGAGCATGCACTCTATTTGAAGAAAAAAGTTTATGGAAGTTTGTTGTATGTATGCCTCTACATTGATGATTTGATATTCACCGGGAATAATCCAACAATGTTTGAATCCTTCAAGAAGAATATGATCCGAGAGTTTGAAATGACGGATATTGGATTGATGCGTCATTTTCTTGCTTCGAAGTAGTTCAAAGCAATGATGGAATCTTC